TATATATATATCTCAAAAGGGAATCGGTATTTGGTATGGTCCTCAAATAACGATTCTCCAATTTGGGTCAAAACTCAGGTGTGCTTCGATTGATCCGGAGAGCCCGCACCACGGGATTCTAACTCCCGACCCGAAGAACTTATGCCAGAGGCCGCATAAATGAGCCGAGAAGTGGATATATATGTATATATATGTCCACCTAGGACCTTCATAAGTACAAGCATATCACTCAAATTTTTAACATCACATTAAAAATACCACAATTAATTACTTCTTAAAAACACCTGATGCATAGATTTATAATACCAGAGGATTATAACTGTAAACATCATACTTTGGGCATTAGATATGTAAATACATAATAATTTTGTTGTGTGCCTGTAAACTTCCATTTATTTATTTAATAAATACTTGTTATTTTATGAAGCTGAATCCAAGTTACGCATTATGATTTATATAAATTATAAAATATTCATATGGTCATGTGCGCAGTGTGAATATAAACAATACATACAAACACACAAAAAATGTACATGCAATCATGTGTGTGCGCGCGTGCGCCAAGCAAAGCCAAACACAATCAAATGCAAACAATAGAACTTTTTTGGTAGCCTTCCTCGTATCAATAGCATGATGGAATTTTTAAATAAGAAAGAACCACAAAATTCTTACGAATTTACATATCTGACATCTAGTTTGATATTTTTATATTTATAAGATTTTGGTGCTATAAATCTATGCATAGAAAAAGTGCATTTGTCTTCTAAAAAATTAATATAGTGGCATTTTAGATGTCATATTAAGGATTTGAGTGTGATGAGCATAAACATTAGAGTTTCAGTGTTCTAGATATGATAATACATAAGAATTCTGGTGTATGTGTGTATGTAAATGACCCTAAAGATAAAACAAAGGAGATTCCTATGAATTTACAAATCTAACACCTAAACTTTAATTTTTTTACATACGAACCCCCTTACCAATGCATGAAAATGAGTATGTCACTTTTTAAAAGATAAATAGTGCTATTTTTGACATGTTATGAAAGATTTGGGTAGTATAAATGTAGGGTTTTTAAGCAATGGAATTGAGTCTCATACCTCCATTATTTTCAACTTCCTTAATGTCCGCAATTTCCAGTTAGTCCACTCCTTTTCTTCTCGCCTTTAAATCCCATCACTCAGTTATTGGCCTTCTTCCATTAAAGATGAATCGGTTCAAAGGCCCCTGCAAAAAATAACGGTAACAGGAAGAAATACTTACAATTACATCCCAGTAGCTGCCTCTGTATATCATACTTTTGGTCTTCTGCTGCGCCCCTTTTCATCAGCACTGGAAATTACAATATTTACGAAGTATAATACCACACAAGTCGCATGTATTTACATATCTAACACCCAACATTGGTGTCATAAAACTGTGCATGTATAAGTGTATTTTGTGGCAATATTTTTTATGTGATGTTAATGATTGGAGGGATATGCATGTAAATATGAATGTTTAGGTGTTAGATATGCAAATAAATAAGAATTATCCAGCATGTATGTAAATACCCCCAACAATAAGCAAAGAAAACTTTTGGATCTGAATATTCCGATTAAAGTTTGATTAGGATGAATATGAAAGTCATTATACTTACTTTACGATGAATATAATAGATAAAAAAATCAATCAAAACTCACATTACAAATAAAAATTTGTCAAAACAGATGCTGTGCAAAGGAGAAAGAAAAAAAGCCAATATTTAGCACTTAAATGTACAGCACAAAATGAGATTAGATCTGTGGCAACAAGTCAGGATCGACCAAAATTCTACTGCTGGTATATAAATAATTTAAATAATATGACCACAAAGCACCATCCAAATCTATAACAATTTTCTAAATTATTATACACACAAACTGCATTTCTCATGTCTTAAAAGGATACCAAAAAACAGCATGAGAAGCCTCATAAAAACCACCTCCCACCTTACCATCGGCGCATCAAGAATCGTTTCTCAGATGTATCGAAATGGCGGAATCAAGAACCGACTGTCGCTCGAGGGCTGAAGGCCGTCATGCTGAGCGAAGAGACTTTGCGCGAAACTAGTACAGCCTCATTGCTGACGGCTTTCGATGCAGCGATGTCCTCAAGCCGCTTCCAGAGCAATTCGCGCTTTGCCTGTGACTCCATCTCCTTCGCTTCATTCTCTTGGAATTTGACGGAACACTGGTTGAAGAAGTCTTGGTCAGAGTCTAAGAAGAGCTTTCGAACATTGAGGGTTAGGCCTTGGACAGCCTGGTTCCAGTGGCCTCTCATGTTCTTCTCCAGGGCGGGGAAGATCAGAGGAAGAATGACTTTCCGGTTCTGGGTGATTAGGTTTCTTAAATGGTCATTGTTCCAAAGAAATAATGATCGCTCAGCTACCTGAGTTATCAGAGGTAAAATCAGCTGATAAATTTGAAATAAGGTAAGGTATTAGACATACAAAATTGGGGCATTTACATACATACCACCTATTTCCTATGTATTGGCATGTCTTAACACCTAAATATTTCCTTTTACAATTATCACATTAAAAAAAAAACCACCATTTTAACTTGTGAAAAGAGTAATACACCTATTATGCATAGGTAAGGTGGGGTGTGTGTAAAAATTGAAGTTTAGGTGTCAGATATGTAAATACAAAGTAGTGGTATGTATGTAAATCTTCCTAAGCTATTACTGTAAAAATTACAGAATATGATGGCCATGTGTAACGCACAAAGAAAACACATGAAAAAAGAATAACCTGGTAATTGATGCTGTTTAAAAGAACTATTAAATGTGCAGGGTGATTAGACAATTGAAAAATGATACAGTGCTGAGCTTGCAATGACCGGAGGTTTATATAATAAGTTTGGTCTTTTTCTTTTTTTTTTATTTTAATTAATAATATTGAAGTCCATGGGATCGTCCCAACAAGCTCTCAGGATGAGCTTGGACTTCAACATGGAAGCGAAACTGATCAAATATGCACTTAAATAGAGTTATGAATATGTTTACTGCTTGTGTTAGAATATTTGCAGCACGGAGTATTATGTCCTCACCTTATACAAAGATTTCTACATAGATTAAAAAAGCAAAAGAAAAACTCAAATTTTTACATGAAAAACTAAAAAGGGGAAACAAAGAGTTTGGCCCAGATAATTTGGTCCATTATGAGATTAAACATTATAAGAATTCGCTCTTTCCCTCAATGGAAAAAGATAAGATTAAGAAGAACACAAGCATAACCTCTTGTGGTTGTAGCTAAGAATATAGCAAAACTATTTAGAGGCAATGATGGCAGTTGAACAACGGAAGACATGTGACAACGATTGGACAACAAATGATGGGCAAAAAATGGTCTAGCAAAGTTGATTGTACAACAGTGGTCAGGCGACAACAGTTGGACAAATGACAAACAGGCAACGAAAGTCAAAGGACAATAGGCAGACAACTAGGGCCAAATGATGATAGGGAAGTGAAGAATAACGGAGAACAACAGTTGAGCAACTATAATTGTTGAAAGTGATTGTTGGAGTTGAACCCCAAGTGGAACTTTACAGCTTTTCCAAATCTTTAAACTATCAAAATTTAGCTCAAGCCCATCTTCATATTAAAGAGGTACATTTATAATTCTTTTAGATGACATTTAAGAATTTAAGTCAAAATCTTAAAACAATTTATCAAAGCAACCCATGTTAATCCCTTTAATTGTAAACCATTCTTTAGCTTTTAAGTGCATTAATGACCCAATAATTGAGTAATCTTGATCTTATTACATTTCACAAATTTAAAGGGCGCGCGTGCACACACAAAAATTATAAAGCATGGCCACTCCCTAAGATGATAGCATGAACCTCCCCTTAAAGTCAAAAACCAAGTAAAGTTTCATAAATTATAATTTCAATCTTACTTGAAATCAGCAAATCAATAGAGCAAAAAATATTGATAACATTGGCTCAAAACTTTTCAATTTTGCTCAAAATTGGTCGTTGAAGCTCTATTAGAATTTGAAAGCATCAAAATTGAGTTCAGAAAGTCAAAAAACAGCCCAAACACACAAAGTGACAAATAAAACACATAATAGCCCATAGGGATGTATGCAGGAAACAAAGCCGGACGCCATCGCTACTACCATTGTTATGCAATATAGGGTGCACCTATAATTTTTTTAAAATATTAAAAAAAAACATCAACGCTCCAAAATAAAAGTGTTATTCTTTAACTCGACATGTCAACTTCACCTGAACCCAATAAAGAAAAAATTGAATTCGGGTAAATCCGATTAATTTCAAAGTTGAGTTTAGGGTAAAAATTCGAACACGTTTGATGATTTGAGACACGTTCGAGTTAACCCGCCAACTTGACCCGAATAGTTCTCATGCATATATTAAATGAGTTGCTCAAGTTGGGTTTGAGTCATTCAAAATGAAGGGGGGTTGGGATCAAGTTAGATTTCTGACCCGTTTTAATATTTAGGTCAGATCAATTTCGGGTCAGACCCAAAACCAACCCGAAAACCCAATTTGGCACTCCTATTCTAAGAGCGACCAAGAAATTACCAAAAAAAAATTCTCTAAATGTTTCAAAATTTTGCCAAAAAAAATATTAACTCTTCGCATCTCCTCAAATATAAATATCCTATCAGGAGAAGGGAAGTCTCACGATTCCCAATTTTCCCTTTGAAGGCACCCAATTCTATTTTTTAAAGAGGCTAAGCATTGTCATCTATAGACGGATTGTACTCCGTCATATAAGCTTCAGCTCATTTTTTACCAAGACAATCAAATTATCCTTAATAAGTTGTGTTGCAAGTTTTACCTAAGACTTAAAATCATTGTGGCGAAGCTCTGATTTTCTTACAAAAATGGAGTCGAGTACCTCTATCAGGACAAACTATAGTCAAGTTACCCACACTTCTCAATTCCCGCGGTTGAGTTCCAATCTTCTTTTAAAACTTTGAATTCTTTTGTTTGGACGGATCAAATCCGAGATGTGAAATTTTAGCAAGCTTTGAGACTTGTTATTTCCTTTGATTATAAACTTTTCTTTTCTAACATTCAAATATCTTAATAGCATAAAACTTGAATAACAATGATTCGTCTTACCGAGACACTCATCTAAACTATAAGCATGAGAAAATCAGAAGAACATTTGGATTTTCAATAAATATCATGAACTTTAAAAGCGCTTGATTCAAACTCATTTAGACACAGATCGAGGCACTTTTGATGTCGTTGGTTCATTTAATCAAGACATTCAATTACACTAAATTTGCTAAAATTAAAAGTTTGATCAATCCTTAATTTAATTTTGGAAGTCTTCAATCTGAATACTACCATGAGATTCATGAACGAACAAATAGGCTTTCAAATGTATCAATTAAAATACAAATTAATCTTAAATTTACAAATGCATGTTTAGATGCTAAAATTATAAAGGAGAATATTATTATCCACAAGAGCAAATGTCGATACAACCCACATTTAAGATATGAAAATTATTGTGAATATAACTTCAATTAATATTATAAAAGTGCAAATACAAATAATGCCACTTATGAAAGGAATAACATTTTAATTTTATGGAAAATAAAAATGAATCCTACCCAAATCCAAGAAATTAATTTCCCATTGGAGGAATATCAAGAACCTGTAATAGCATGAAGGGAGCCCCATATATGTCAGCAGTAAATAATGCACCAAAATCCAAAGGTCCTATGAAAGCGTGGTGCAAAAAATATGACAATATTCGCTATTTTAAATGTAATGCAAATATATATATATATATATGAAACCTAAAGCAAAGAATAAGATGGAAAAAGTTGACATGCAAAAATATACTAACAACTAAGTAGCTTCAATTAGAGATGGGTTAAGGTCGACTAAAAGGAGCACTTGTGTTCAAGGTTCAATAGAGAAATGTGTTTTAATATCAAAGATGAGGTGTTTTTTGTTTAGCTTAGGAAGATAATTAAACCCCACGTTTAAGGAAAAGCTTGCCGTATATTTCTTTCAGTTTTAGGCCACCAGCTCACTAAGCTCGACGTTCATGCAGATAAGGAAGAGCTCTTTACATTCCAATTCATTAGTTGTGGTCGTCAATCCACTTTCATTCTCCACTTGCCCGCTCGCAAGGATCTACTATATGAGACAAACATTTTCCCTCTCACAAGTGTTTATGTGCATGGTGAGAGAGAGTAGTTCGAGCTAGGGAAGCACAATGTGTGAGATAAAATATAAAAAGAGAGAAAATTCAAAAATCAATAAATAAACTGAATAATATTGAAAATAAAATGAAGGCTAGATTGATTATTATTAAAGAGAGATATTAAATAGAATGTGCTACAAACAAATAATAGTGTATATTGAGCGCGTTGCTTAGTTGCACAAGTAACACGAGATGCGCCTCATTATGCTACAGGTAACTAATTAAAGATGCATAGGGTAAATATGTAGTTATTTTCAACTAAGTAAAATACAAAAATAAAATTTCATTTGTTGTTTGAACCAAGTTTAAATAACCTTAGTATTTTCAATCCATTCTTTAATTCCATGTCTAACCCATTTCCAAAAGGCTAGAGGTTCTTAAGAAAATCAATGAGATAGAAAATATCAGGCATGAAAGTATAATGTTCAATTGCAAATTTTCGAGCATGAAAGGCATCTATTTATTTGAAACACAATTAGTATCAAAAAAAGTTCAAGGAGGTGTAACAAAAATAAAAAAATATATATTTCAAGCTCTCATAAGAATATTGCACGCATTAAAGTGCCTGAAGAAATTAAAGCAAAAAAAGATGCATATATGAATAAAGTAACCACATCAAAGCATTTAACACATTCTCAATTTCATGATAGATTTGATTGTGACTCTCATTATGTCAGCAAGTTGGGAGGCAATAGATTTTTCTTCTCCTAAAGTGCTAGAGGATATAGAGATTGATACAAGAAAAAGGATAACTTATCAAAAGTTTCCACAAAACGATTAAAAAAAATAAAAATAAATAATAAATAATAAAAATAAAATAAAATAAAATAAAATAAGTCTCCACAAAACGCAAAAGTGATCCATAAGCATGTTTGTATAAATATTGGCAGATTCTTATTTGTCCACACAATCATTTTAAATTTGGCAACTTCTACATCATATTTTAGCATAATTTATTATATAGGTTCATATGGTTGCGGTTTTAAACCTTTTTCCATGTCTGAATTTGGCACATATATATTGAAAGAGAAATTAAGCACAAAGAAAACCAGCAAGATAATTAAAAAAAATATATATTCTGATAAAAAATCTTTTTGGTACTATTTTTATAAACAATTCATTGGAAAACTACCATAAATCCGACCTTATCTTCAGCATCATACAAAGCTAAGCCATGTTGAACAGTAATT